CCCCCATGGTGTTTCCTGAGATATCAGGCTTACAAGAATGGGCCAGACGGACAGACTGTGCACATCTTGCTATCGTCTGCATTTTTAGAGCAAACTTTGCCATGAAAATAAAACATTTAAATATTTTAAAAGATTTTTGTTGGTCCATAGTTTTCTTTGTTATACAAGTCAGAGTCAGTCAGGTAGATTTAGAAGGTAACAGCGAGATCCATATGGACCAGACTGTAAACACAGTGATAGACAAAACAAATAAATTACAGGTGAGGGAGGGTCACAATGTGTCCCTGACAACCTCTGGAAGTGGTTTGGCCTATCAGATCGCAGTCTGTCCTCAGTGTGTGGATGCATTCACACTTGTACTTTTATCCTGCTGCGATGCCAACACCCCAAACACTATCAATACAAGGTATAAAGAGGGTCTCGAATGCTCTGTACAGAGTTTACAGCTGCACTGCAACCAAACCGTTCGAAATAACTCAAATCAAAAAACTGCAAGACAGATACAAAAGTTTGCCAGTGATCAGAGTCTTGGCTGATTCCTGACTTTTCAAACCGCTACTATCCATTTTTTCAAGACAGAGTCCATGAGACGTCAAACCAAACATTCGTAAACCAGACGAGTACAATCTTAGACCTGAGAAACGATCACAACTTAAATGGTTCATGGTATAGCTTGCAGCAAATCCATGGCCCTCTCTAACAGGGGGGCTAAGATTTGCTTTAAGTTGGACATCCACATAAAGAATTCCTCTGGCATGTTAGCATTTATCATCTTCAGGATTTGGCCCCACGGAAGGTCTGGATCTGCAACGACACACAATCGAAGCAGGGTTTTAGCCAAAGAGACCAGACCAGGGGTACCAAAATGAAGAATATACCAGTGTGAAACTCGAGCTGAAGAATCCTGAGAATGTTTTATCTGCTGAAATCAAACTAACTTTTTCTAAAGTGATCCAGATGACATGTTACGTCAAGATAATACGAATAGAGTCGAAGTTAGTGAGCTGCTTGTTTTCAACTCCACAAACAAAATTAACGCGACTTCCTGTAAGACCGGAAACAGGAAATGCCCAGCAGCAACTCAAGAACAGCTCAGTTCCACAGGGAGAAATAATGATGGCCACACTGACACTGAGAGCAGACACACAAAGAGAGGAAGTAGATCCAGAAGGGCACAGACCAAGACGAGAGATGGATTTACCTTGAGGCTCGTCAGCAGCACCACCTGTGAGGAAGACACAATGTCAGTCAACTGACAAGGTTTATGACTGTCGGATATTTTTGAAATTTTTGATTTTCACACTTTTGTTCAATCCTGTTCATTTTTAAGTCTCGTTGTGGATATGTCCTGCTTTGAGAATCCAAGGCTAGGGTTTCTGTCAGTCTGGCATCTGATCATCAACTATGACTAATAGCAAACTTTTTATGGTGCGTCAGAATAAGAAATTGCAGGAATAAAAATGTACCACGGGGATTATAGCCGGGGTCCGCCCCACCACCTGCGTTCAACAGAGAAAGGAGAAAAGTAAAGTTAGACTTGAGGTGCAGCAGTTGTAACAGAAACAACACATCGGTATTAGTCACATCACTGTGCTTCCTTTATACCGATGATTTTTATTATTGACCACAAGTGAAATTCCAGCAGAGGTTGTGTGTGCAGTAAGCTGCAGTTAATAACAGCTTACTGCCGCTGCTCCTTCAAGAGTACGATCATGCAGAATCTGATCTGAAAACCAACCATGTGGCTCTGATTACGCTGGAGAGCCTGTGGGTTTTTATTCCTTTCTTTCTTTGGTAGAAGAACAACTAATTACTTCCATGCTCTGACTGAACAACAGCACAGACACAAAACAAAGGACAGCAAGTAGCGTCTGAGTCATAGCATCAGGGTTCTTTTAGATGTACTAAGGAAACTGAATATTTTCAAACATTATCTGACTGATAGCATCTTTTAATTTTTGAGAAAATGATCAACAATAGGCCTCTTTATCTATGGAAAACCATGACAACCGATGGAAAACACAGGGACTAAACCTGAGTGTATTTATTCAACATGAATGGAGCAATATTGCTTGAACCTACAACAGTCCTTACGAACACTGAGAATTGTTCACCTATTATATCTAAAACTACAACCGATCCAAGGCATACCCGAAGTAAAGTGACAGCTGTTCTTGTTCCATCTTTATTACAGGTACATGCACGGTCTCCTTTGAAAGCCGACACTTCAGTTTTTTAACCCATCAGTCAGAATCACTGTAGCCCCTTTTACACTGCCAGATTTTCTGCGAACGTTGGGCCGATTTGCCGGCAAGCTGCGAGCGTTTAGACACACAGAGCCAGATTGGCGAGTTGATCCAAGGCGCCCAATTTTCCATCTCGTAGGGTAGACATATTGGTGGAACCCTTTTAGATTAAAAAGACCGAGGCGGCCTTCCGCTATAGGAGGGGCTGTTGATGACTTGTGGGAGGAGCTGTTGATGACGCCGCACGTGCGACCCACTGGCGGTGGATAAACAGGAAACAGCTGATAGCAGGAATCAGCGAGCAGCTAGTAGCAAGAGGGAAACACAAACCTGACAGACACTGTAACGATGAGCAACTGGGGAGACAAGGAATTGCGCGCCCTCCTTGTCCTTGCAAACTAAAGGCCTGTTTCCATTCAAGAAGATCCTGGTACTATTTGGGGGGCAGGAACTTTGCAGGAACGTCCTCTCGCTCCGCCCTCTGAACCGCCGTGTCTCCACTGAGAGGGCGGAGTAGGAGTAACGTCCCTGTAAAGTTGACGGGCTCTGGATGTGACGTAATCGTTGCGCAACCATTTTGACCGGGGCAACGAGTTTTAAAAATGCCGGCTATTTTGTCGCTTTCTATTGACGTCACATCCCGCCTTGAGTATATCCAATCAGCACCAAGTAAACCCCAAGCCCCACACAGGAGTTTTTCGGGGCCGTTCTGAGTACCTACTCCGAGGCTGGGACTTGTTTAGCCCCTGTAAAAGTTCTGGAACTCTGTCCTTCGGGAGTGGTTCCTGCGGTGGAGACACGCACCAACGGCCCCGGCCCCGTAAAATTACCCCGAAGTTCCTGCGGTGGAAACGGACCTTAAGAGGCCATTAACCGTCAGATGACGGGGACGGTGAAGAACGGGCCGACTTACGAGAGAATTGCCAAAGGACTGACCAGCCGTGGATTCCCACCCACGTCACTGTTTACATCACACGCTGAGCTACACGTTTTGTTACTTGCTCACGCCCCCCATTGCCCCGAAAAAGGCGCATTCTGTATAAACAAAAGTAGGTAGGCGGCATTTTGCTGCACTCCCTGATTTTGTTTTTATACTGGCAATGGTGAAAAAAGACTGATTGGGCTTTCCTGCAAATTTAAAAAGGGCTTTTGAGTGCTTCAGTCATTGAGTTATACATGTTTCAACACACAGAAATAAAAGGTTCTTTATCTTTGCTTTGACTCTATTTTGAAAAATAGAGTCAATGATCTAAAATAACTTTAGGGCATCGATTGTAGAACTCTGTATGCTTTTCAGTAAGGCGAAAGTCAAGTAAAATCAATTACGTTATCTGCATCTTTTCAATATTTTTATACACAAGTACATCTCTAACAGATAGTGCTTTTATGTTGACTGTGTGATCTGCTGTGTGCATGGTGGTTTACAGCACTAAGACACATAAAACGCCACCACACTATCCTCTGTGAAACCAGGATGCCGTCTCTCTTCAACTGTCTACTACAAGCTATTTTTACTTCCCCTGAGCCAACATGGGCGTATAATCAAAAAAGTGCCATGTGACCTGCACTCCACAGAAAAAAAAGTCACATCAGAGTTTGTCAGCGTTGCCATGGCATTACATAAATGTTGTGCCACTGCCTTGAGGCGCTCAGCTTGACTGAGTCAGCGGTAGTGAAGGACAACAAGACGCAACAAAGGAAAGAAAGCTAATTTAGGAGATACCAAGGAATCCCCAACCATGACTCACCAGTGTATTTACCAAAACTATGGATATCATACCAAGTTATTACAACATCCAACAACATGTTACTGTGGACTAGACAGAGGCATGATGGGAAATAATCCACATTCATCATACTAGAGAGCAGACGAAGCAAACATGCTGGTGTCGGCAGTTAGAAGTGGTTGTGACACACACTAATAGAGGCAATTAAGGTGTTTAAAAACCCTTAGTGTGCGACTACCACCCTTTGAATCTCTTACAACACACAGAGAGAGACTTTCTGAGGACATTTTATCTGCTCATAAATAACTGGGCATTCTTTTAAGGTGCACATTCGGCACAACGTCAACAAATATGGGCTAAATATCATTGCTCAAGTCGTTAAGTTGCAGCTTGCAATGGATTTTACTGAATGGCAACATTGTACTTCCTGTTCACATCCCCCCAAAGCATGAGAACTCCAAAAGAGCATGATTATCCCCCAGACAAAAGTGAGACCAAGAATTACAGCAATGGCAAAACATCAACAGAGCACCGGGATGTCATTTGGGGATGTGAGCATGCTGTTGTAAATCACAGTGTATATTTAACCATGAAGGCTGCAGTGTGAACATAGGCTAAGGGGTTTTTCGGAGGCCCCAGCCTTTCTCAGGCCAGCCTATTTTTGTAATGCTCTGCAATGGCCGCACATTTTCGCTGTGGTGGACATGGGGCCTAATGTCCTTATGTGACGTATGACCGAGCAGCTGGCACCACAAGCAAAACAAGAATAACAACAGCAGCATGATGCAGTGGCATGATGTCTTACCTCCTCCTGAGCGCCCACCGTCACCGCCACCGCCACCACCGCCACCACCGCCATAACCATCAACTAAGTCCGAGTCACTGAAAGCTCCTCCACCTTTAAGGAATTAACGACAAAATATGTAAAAAAAATAATCATTCCACTCTTATACGATTCACAAACTGTACATTTCTTAATCAGTAATATTTAAATATTCTAACTGCTTTGACAAGACGTGGACATTTTCTGAGGATGAACCTGCTGTTAATCTGTGCTGGATCCATTGTCAACAAGTCCCAAGAGACTAAAACCAACAATGTGTTTGTTTGTCTCTCACTATGAAATGACCTCCCTTTCCTTCCTCTGCCTCTCAGCTCAAAGCCATTGTTGCTACTGAGGATGTTAATCTTTAAAAACACCTCATGAATGTAAAGAGCCGACAAGTAGGTTCAAACATTTGTAGACTCACCTCCTCCACGATTTGGGGGCTTCACAGTAGGTTTGGGAGGGTTGGGGTCTGTGGGGACAACGACATTATCGGCATCAACAATGAACTCTTTACATGATAAATTCACCTCTTAACAGCTTGATTATCCACAGAGTTGTCTTTCTCTCCACAACAAACGCACCAGGTGATTTAAACCGATAATAACACTTAACTAGTCCATACCCATTGAGTACAGCATACCATACCATGACTTAGTCATACCAAAAATTAGAAAAACAACATTGGTCCACAGGGGGAGCCACAGCAATCGGTCGCATTTTAGCCATTTTGAAGCATTTTTCTGTTGTTATAGCACCACCCAGTTGCCAATTAGAGTTAAATTTCTCCAGTCACCTTGAGGCGTCCTGTTCTACATATCTACCAAGTTTAGTAAAAATCCATATGGCGCTTAGGCCTAGATAAAAAATGAGCTCTCTAGCGTCCCCATTTTGTTTGATGGGGTCAATAATGGAGGGGTCCCCTCAGATTATGTGTGGTCATATGCCTACAAAGTTGC